TCCAAATTTTAATCTCTAGGACAGGCGTCCCCAAACTTTTTACACAGGGGGCCAGTTCACTGTCCCTCAGACCGTTGGAGCGTCGCTACATACTGTGCTCCTCTCACTGACCACCAATGAAAGAGGTGCCCCTTCCTGAAGTGCAGTGGGGGGCTGGATAAATGGCCTCAGGGGGCCGCATGCGGCCCATGGGCCATAGTTTGGGGATGCCTGCCTAGGACCTGTAAATGTTACCTTACTTGCAAAAAGTGTCTTTGCAGATGTTGATATGGTTTGGCTGTGTCCCCACCCAAATCTCCTCTTGAATTGTAGTTCCCATAATGCCCATATGTCTTGGGAGGGACCCAGTAGAGGGTAATTGAATCACGGGGACAATTACTCTCATACCCTTCTCACGATTGTGAGTTCTCAGGAGATCTGATGGTTCTAAAAGGATCTTTTCCCTCTTTAGCTTGGCAATTCTTGCTGCTGCCATGTGAAGAAGGATGTGGTTGCTTCCCCTTCCACCATGATGGTACTTTTCTTGAGGCCACCCCAGGCATTCTGACCTGTGAGTAATTAAGCTTCTTTCCTTTATAAATTACTCAGTCTCAGCTATGTCTTTATTAGCAGTATGACAGCAGACTAATACAGATGTGATTAAAGATTTTGATATAAGGAGATTATCCTGTATTATGTAAATGTGCCTAAATCCAATCACAAATCTCCTTGTAAAAGAGAGATGGAGAGAGATTAAATAGATACGCAAAGAAGAGAAGGCCACATGAAGACTGAGGCAGAGAATGGAGTGGTGTGGTCACAAACAAGGGAAAGCCAGCAGCCACAGGGAATGGACTCTCCCTTAGAGACTCCAGAGAAAATGTGGCCTTGCTGACCTACTGAGTTTAGATTTCTGGCCTCCAGAACTGGGAAGAAATAAATTTCAGTTGTGGTAAGCCATCTAATTTATGGCAACTTGTTATGAATTCACAGAAAACTAGTACATTTAGGCTATACCTTTTATATAATAGATATTAAAGTTTTATGAAATAAAATGGAAATCACAAAACTTTTGATTTACTTAGAGAAAGTTTAATCTACGTAGAAAATCTACTAATATAACATAACACTAATGAGTTAAGATAAATGGAACCTGTCTAAACCTAATCAAAATTGTATGTAAAATGAATGATTTGACTTTGGAAAATATGATTTTATGGATTATCTAGCCTTTCAATTGTGACTTACAGTAACAAATATATAAAATCAAAGGGTAAACATTTTCTGAAATAAAATGAAGCAAGGTACTCATCAACCTCTAGTAGTTAATCTAGAAAAATATTTTACTACATTTTAATTCTTAACTTTCTATGTCTGAAATGATTTTCTATTCATCCATGTGATATTCTATTTTAGAAAAGAAGGTGGCATTATGAATTAGCTTTGAAAAAATGTCTGTTCTTTAGTTATTCAAAGCTGTCTATTTAATTTCATAGTTCAGGAAAGAAGAGAGAAATTGGAAGCACAGGAAATGCACAACCACCTGCAGAGAGGATACTTAACATTTGGTGCCTGTATTACGTTCTTCCCTGTAAAACTTTTGTGTCTGACAAGGCTATATTTTGTTGGCTTTTGAATTATACTGTGTAAAATTAGATTGAGTTAGCATATCATCCAAACTCCCTGGTGTAGCATATGTAAGCTTTGATTAGAAAATGAGACCTACTATGATTAGCAATAAAAAAAAAAATTGGAGACACTGTACCTGGCACATTTGAAGGCTATCCCTTCCAAAAATATCTGGCTATGTTTCTTCCCATTTCACGTTATTGCATAAAGAATAGATTACTATTTGCATGTAATTATTTTGGATGAGAAAGAAAAGGCAAGGCAAATTTTTAGTCTACATTAGGATTTACCAAATATGACTAAACAGATACAAACAGAATTCCTTCTCAAGATTATTTAGTTCTTTAAAGTGAGTAACAAAAGTAATCTCGCCTTGTCAATCATATTATTTAAGCCGAAATCAGCAGAATCACATTTAGAAAAGATTCATTCTTTGTGAATCACAGCTGTTAACACCTACTGCTCATGAGAAAGACCTGTTATTCTTGATTTCTTCTCTTATCTTTATCCTCATACCTTAATCCATCATGAAGTTTTTGTAGATTATATGTCCGAAATGTTACAAATTAATCTTCTCTCCATTGCCGCCCCCATCAACATGATCTCTGTGATGATTAATTTTATGTGTCAACAGAATGAGGCAATACTGCCCAGCTGTTTCTTCAAACACTAGTCCATATGTTGCTGTGAAGGAATCTTACGGATGTAATTAACGTTTATAATCAGTTGACTTTAAGTAAAGGAGATTGCCCTTGACAATGTGGGTGGGCTTCCTCTAATCAGTTGGAAGCCTCAAAAGCAAAACATGATGTATCCTGAAGAAAAAAGAACTCAGCCTTAGACTGTTAATATAATATAGAAATTCTAACTAAACTTATAGCCTGCCCCAGCCTACCTACAGAGACAGGAGTCAAGACTACAATATCAACTCTTCCCCAAGTTTCCTCGTCTACAGATTTCAGGCTTGCCAACCTCCTCAGTCATAAGGGTCAATTCCTTAAAATTATACACAGACATACACAGACACACACACACACACACACACACACACACGCACACACACACGCACACGCACACACAAATACACATACGCAATCTTCTATTGTCCCACTGTTCTGTTTCTCTGGAAAATCCTGACTGACATTCTAGGTTATTAAAAGAACACGTCATTTCTAATGTTCCCATTTCTTCCATTACCTCTAAAATCTGTTTAATACATAGCAATCAGAGATACACAGAATACAGGATGACAGATAGATTATAGAAAAATAGATAAAAGCATAATACTTACAGTCAGATATTAAAGGGCCTGAAAGTAAGACTTAGCCCTCTCTATAGCCTCTAGGTTCTTGTTTCATTTTTCAATCCCAACCCAAGTTACTCCCCCAAATCTATTAATCTACCTTAAAGGAAAGGGTTATGTTTCTTTCCCTCAAGACAATTTTAAAGTTTGTGATTACATATCTATTTGGTCTTTTGTCCGCTTATTCTCTGTTTCTTCCCAATAGAAAGTAAAGACTACAAGGGTAAGATTGAGATTTATATTTTTGGGCATTGTATTCTCAGTGCCTGGCACGGTTCTGCATATGGCAGGCACTATGTACTCGCTGAATTAATAATTATAACAGAATCAGTAGTAATTTTAAGGTAAGTATTTTGAAAAAGCAGCATCAATTTCTAACTTACAGGTAAGAAAGGCAGTGATTAGAAAGAGAATCAGGAAATGCAACAAACAAAGTATCACCCAAGCCACAGACATTAATCATATAGTCTGGATAGAAGTAACAGCAAAATATTAAATATCCATTTTTGTGTGTGTAGGATAAAATACATTCTGCTTCTCTTTTGGCTCATAATATGATCATTTTATTCACACTCAGTTTTAAATCTTCTTTTTATACCACTCCTGTCTGTGAAGCTACTACATTTTTTATTTTAAGGCAAAGTCTCACTCTGTTACCTAGGCTGGAGTGCAGTGATACAATCTTGGCTCACTGCAACCGCCATCTCCCAGGTTGAAGGGATTCTCGTGTTTCAGCCTCCTGAGTAACTGGGACTACAGGGGCATACCACTATGCTGGACTAATTTTTAGTATTTTTCATGGAAATGGGGTTTCACCATGTTGACCAGGCTGGCCTAGAATTCCCAACCTCAGGTGATCCACCCGCCTCGGCCTCCCAAAATGCTGGGATTACAGGCATGAACTACTGTGCCCTGCCAATTTTTTTTTTTTAATAAAACTCAGAATGTCTGTAACCAGGTTTAATTTCTTAACCAATTTACATAATTTACCATGTCTGGTAACTTTGAAGAAAAAAACTAATTTTTCTGAACTTCAGAGCCCTTACATATATAATGGGGAAAATATCCACCAGATGAGTCATTTGGTAGATCAAAACACTGTATATAAAGCTCCTGGGAGTACACGGAGGGAGAGAGGGAGAGGGCTTTGAAACAAGAAAGGCCTGGTAAAATTACCAGCTCCAACAATTATTACATAAGCTATTGTGAAGGCCAGAAATATGCATTGAGTGTATTAAGTGCCTGGTACATGAGGTTTTTTTTTTTTGTTGTTGTTGTTGTTGTTGTTTTCTTAAAATTCCCATAGGTAGTATACTGATAGCCTAACCATTGTTTGACATAGACATGTATTATAAATGGAACAATCCAATAAAACCTGTTGTGGACCAACAAAACCCCAATAAAACCCCACCATGACCAATTATGGCACAAGACAGGGCCCAGTTCTTTTAAGATCCAGGGAAAACAGCACAAAGGACCAAGAAGGTTTCTCTGGATAAATTAGTCAACAAATGTTTTTCAAGGTGCAGAAAAAGATAGAAAATTTGCAACAGTTGGCCAGCCACAGTGGCTCACACCTGTAATCCCAGCGCTTTGGGAGACAGAGGTGTGTGGATCGCCTGAGGTCAGGAGCTTGAAACTAGCCTGACCAACATAGTGAAACCCTGTCTCTACTAAAAATATAAAAAATAAACTGGGTGTGGTAGTGGGCACCTGTAATCCCAGCTTCTCCAGAGGCTGAGGCAAGAGAATCACTTGAACCAAGAAGATGGTGGTTGCAATGAGCTGAGATTGCGCCATTGCACTCCAGCCTGGGCAATAAGAGCTAGACTTCATCTCAAAAAAAAAAAAAAAAAAAAAAAAATCATGCAGGACTTGGAAGGCAGAAGTAGAACTGAACCTGTTTCCTTCAGCAATGTTTCCAGGCATCCTGGAAGTTACCTGCTTCAGAACTGCAGGCAGCTGGTATTGTCATTAAAGGTTCTATTTCAGTTCCAGTGTTCTTGATTCTATGAAACTTAGCTTAAAGAAAGCTAAGGAAACTTAAAGCTTCCTCAACTTTTAAAAAAAACTATTATTTTTTCTTTGTAATAATATGGAACAATTCATGAATTTTCATGTCATCCTGTGCAAAGGCCGTACTAATCTCTGTATCATTTCAATTTTAATATCTGTGATACTAAAGTGAGCACTTCCTTGACTTTTAAGTCTTGAATGCTTTTAATGCACAGACAAACTTATAATTCTATTAAAATTATTACTAATTTTAATACTTGGATTGCTTTCTAATTTTCTCAGCAAAACTCGTCAGATAATGGTAGACTTAGAGGAAATACTAGAACCCTACCATATGTAATTTTAGGGTTTGTTGCAGTTTAATTAGGATTATATCAATTATACATTGAATCGTTTATTATATTTGGCTCTAACTATAGACTATGGGGTGACTACTTCCCATTTCATCCATTATTGCCCTGATAAATTTACAAGTTGATCTAATCTAAGTACAATTCACAGACCTTGTTTTTATCCGCTGAAAATGTAAGCAGACTGGTGAAGCGGCACAATCAAGAGTAGCGGCTGAAAAACCATGTACTCCTTTGAAGTGACTAGGGAGAAAGAAGGAACATTCATGTCCCTTTACTTGCCAACTAGTGTAGCTCATGTAAGCTTTCATTTGAATAAAGGATTCCACTGAGGATGGTGTACAGGACCAAATATGTGCTTTACAGAATCATGCCTATTGGCTCCCACTGCTTTCTTCGTGTATCATCTCAATATTCTATACCTGCTCCATATTTTTTGGTGGCTTACAGATCTACTTTGTTATTATAAGAAGAGAATTTTGCTATTCATAATCTAGAAAATGTCAAGTGCAAAATGATTCCTGAACATTTCATCTACTAAACACATGATTTACACAGCAATTGGAAACTTTCGTTTCATTATGCAGCAAAATGAGGTATTAGGTGCTTCGGCATGATTCTTTCTCTTAATTCTTTCTCTTAATTCTCTTTGATTTAGATTAAATCAGAAAGATATTTACACACATAAAAATAAAATAGATAAAACAGGAAGAAACAAATGCTAAAATATCTAACATGGTTTCAAAGAGAACCTAGATTTCATTATTTTTCTTCCCCCATTGAAATAATTATTTACCTGAAATGCATTTTAGAAAAGGAAGTCAATTTGTATTAGTTATAAATACTTCCTCAACTAATATTTTCACTGTCTTGGAAATTCAGTGGTGAATCTAGATTCATCTTTTCTTACTTAATTTATTACCAGAATAAATGTCATGAAAGTTAAATGACTTATTCTGGAGTCTTTTGGGTCTTCAGCTCACAACTCTAAGCTCCCAGTCTACTAAGCCCTCCTCCCATTTTTAACAATAGTATATGAGATTTAGCAGACAAATATTCCACTTTTTAAATTACATCTAAGATTTATGGAAACATGAAGAGATAGACACTATTTTAATAATTATCTTATTAAAATAAGATAATTTTATTGATTCAGTACAATAAGGCATATCTCTTTTCCAGAAGTAGGGATAAATTTGCTGCCTCACAGATGCAATTTTCTCCTGTCAAGGGTTAGGAGATGTAATTCTGAAATGTGGAAAATTTAATCTATACATACATGGCTATATTAAAACTAAAATCTAGCTAAATTTATTGATGATATCTGAGCAAATGAGCGATAATTTGGATCAAATGTATGCAGTATTGTCTAGTAGAAAGTAATGGTTTTAGAAAAAACAAACTAGGTTCAAATCTCACTTCTGCCACATGTTAACTTTTCCTGAGCCTCAGTTTTCTTATATGTAAAAAGGGAATAACAAGACCAATGTGGCAGTGTTGTTAGCAGTGTTACAAATAATATATGAAAAATGTGCAACATAGTGTCTAGTATAAATACATTATCCTCTAATGTATTGTTATTATCGTTAGTCTTAATTATTCGATGCACAATCAAATCACAAAGTCACCCTCAGACTGGCAACGGGTCTTGATTTTCTAATATGGCAACAGTAATTTTTTCTCACTTTAAATGAGACTATACTTTAAAACTGAAAGGGACATTTTTATAAAATCCAAACAGTTGTACACACAAAGATTTCTATGTTGATACTAGCAAACTGGATCTCAGATTAATAATCCTTATTTCATTGTCAATTAAAATTTTTAAGACAAGTTTTTAAATGTCTAATCAAATTCCATTTGAATGTTGTCTGTTATAATGAAATATGGTTTTTTTTTGTTTTAATATCAACAAAATGAGAGATTGAAAAAAAATGAGGCTTGAATTTTGGTATCTTAATCTGGTTTTTCTTAAAATTGGGGGCTTTTTTTCTTCCTTTAAGAAGTGGAAACTTTAAAAATGTGAAAGGCACATATAATTATAAAACTTATGTATGCATTTATTCATAGAAGGGTAAAAGGGAATGTATATAATGATCAACATTACAAAGATTTTGTATATGAACCAGGTCTTCAATCCTCTTTTGGAAATTTTACATTGTCATTCTGTAGATTATCAAATTTTGTATTCATATATAGATTCTTTTGTGTAAGTGGTTGCTGTTAAAAATTTTTTAAAGCATTATGGTAATTCTTAATCACTAGTTATTTTTCATAGTCTAAAGAAATCAGAGGCATTGCTGATAGAATTAATGACAAGAGAAACAATGGTGGGATTTTAGTTCATTCAGACCACCCACACCTCACTAAAAGAAAGTACAACCCGAACAAAGTAGTCATTATCCCAATCAAACACGGAACACAAGATTCTATTAAGACTTATATAACTAACTCTAATTAAAACACAATGAAAACTGTATAATGAGATCACTGTTATTCTGAAATGATTTGGGGGGTTTGGGTTTCAACCTCTTAAAATTACGTATATACTGAATATGTAGCTGGAAACTGATCATATAATACCCGAGAAATGTGTTTAATAGTTCTGTTTCAAGTCACTGCTTGCCTAAATATAAACTGGTTCTAACATATTTCAAAAGCAAAGTTTTGGGAGCTTATGTGTTTGAAAAGTACTTCTAGTGGATTGTTTTCTTTTTTTATTCTTGGTTAAAGGTAGAAGCATCTTGACATTTACATTGCTATTTTTCTGCTTTCAAGGATGCTAACAAAAAAATGGCCTTGGCTCGGATTAGTTTGAAATGGTCCTCTGAACTTCCACAAGGTCGTTCTGGCCATTTCTGAAATAATTTCCTTTGTTATGAACCTGCTGTGACACCTTCCATAAGGACACAATGTCAGAGACACATAAAGGCAGGCACAGGTATATACACATACATATACTGTCCCTCAACTTACACATGGGATGTGCTCCCGAACTCCTGATTACAGCTATTGTTTAGAACTCACAGTGTTTTCTCAAAGAAACAATAATATAAATATAGTTACTTACATAGTCCTTACAGTCTGCTTAGCCAAGATGTAGCTGAAATACCATACATAAGGATGAACAATAGGATACTGAAGCATAATCAACAGTTTTGTTTTAAATATAATAATTAGACTTTAATTAATCTCTAATGGTGATGATGGAGGATGTTCACTTTTCCTAAGAGTCCTATTTCTTTCTCTCAGCCAGAATTAGATACTGGCTCATGTTTGCTTGCTTGATTTCTCATGCCTTTCAAATCAATACAAATGAAAGAGTGGATCTCTGATTCTCTTTTCCAAAGCCACTCCAAATTTCTTAGCCTTTTGTAAAATTTCCCTGTAATCCTACCTCACCACAGTAATGCAGCAGTGTGTTTCTATGTGTGTGTCAGAATGGAGAGGAAAGGAAACACTTATTGCTGTTTAACTGCTATCTCTTTACATGCGGATAGACTGAAGATGAGATTTTTGTTTTTTAGAGACGGAGTTTCGCTCTTGTGACCCAGGCTGGAGTGCAATGGCGTGATCTCGGCTCACCGCAACCTCCGTCTCCTGGGTTCAGGCAATTCTCCTGCCTCAGCCTCCCAAGTAGCTGGGATTACAGGCACGAGCCACCATGCCCAGCTCATTTTTGTATTTTTAGTAGAGACGGGGTTTCACTATGTTGACCAGGATGGTCTTGATCTCTTGACCTCGTGATCCACCCACCTCAGCCTCCCAATAAAAATGAGATTTTATGCAGATGTGCTGTCTTAATGTATAAATGTGGAGTTATGTTTATATACCTTACATATTAGTAGCAGCCTATTAATAGAAATATTTTGTTACGTTTTTTGCTGGGAGCAGTTTTGAAATCCCATGGCTATTTGTATACTAAAAGATTAAAATCAACGATCTTTCTGTTTCTTAGTTGAGATCTTTAGTTTAGTCCAATCATTTGGCAATAATTACTGCTCTAATTTTAAGACTATGTAAGCTGGTGGATGGTTGAGTGAAGAAAGGAGATAACAGAGACACGAGAGTAGCCGCAAGGACTCATACCCTTAAACAATGGAATATTTTGTGACAAGGCTGGAAATCTTGCTGAAATTTGCTAAAATAAGCTAGGAAGAAGCATTTTTTGAAAAAATATATTAAATTTCAGTCACAAAATGGCTGGTGCCAAAATCTAAAAAGTGGTTCAAATGCCAAACCTTAAAACAGATAGGAGAATATGCCTCAGAAGGCCATGACGCTTTCAACAGTATTCCTCAGACACCTAAAGAAAGTGATTTGAGAAAATTCTTTTCTACTGGAGAAGGTCTGCCATTTAGAGTCCTCAGATTAATTTTAGATATTTTATTTACTCTTTTTAAACTGCATATTTAATGTCCGTTTTCAAACTCCTTATTTTCTATGAGATGTCACAACCCTTCAGGTGGCAAGCAATTAGCAAAGGTTTAATAAAGGGAAGGACAACAAACTGAAAATTAAACATGAAGGAACTACTTCACTACTGTGATTCTGGGGAAACAGAACTTGTATTACTTAATTTCTAAGTATGTCTCCCTTGGTTAACAGTGATATGAGGGAGCTTTGGAAATGAGAACACTATCAGAGTCTGAAGTATTAACAATCTTTTGAAATCTATTTAGGAGATGAGCAACTGATGCTCAGAGATGCTAATTATCTTGCTGCAGATAATCTAAGAAGAAAAAGACCATTTTTCATCCCAAATTTCTTCTCACTTTTAAAACTCCCAAGTCCAGTGCTCTCCTATAATATCATTGTTATTTGGT